AATAGACCTAAATGAACTGAAAGTCATGTAATGTTCATGGATGGAAAGGCTCAATTATCATAGAGATGTCTGTTGTTTCCCAAGTTAGTGTATGGATTTGATGCAATGTCCTCCCCTTTCCCTTTTCCTTGACTTGCCATGTTGTTTTCTTATTTGCTCAGCCACTGCCAGAGCAGAGGGTGGAAAGGGGAGGAAGGAGTGAGCTTCCAGAACTCCTCCTGATAAATAAGGGAGGCAGTGGGAAGCCCACCTTACCTGAGCCAACGTTTATTCCATTGTTACTTCACTCATAAAACAAATCCAAAGATAAAGTTATTAGGAATTTTGTGATTGTGATCATAGAGCATTAACCTCAAGCAGAGTGGAGGGGGAAGGGGGTTGAAGAGGGTGGCCTTCTGAGCTCGGGGACCTATGCCACTGCACGCCCATGAAGTTGGCTGTGTCGGCAGTGTTCTATTTCTTGACCTGGGTAGCAGTTATACAGATGTTTATTTTATCTTAATTGCTTACCTCAGCCCATTTATGCCGCTATAACAAAATACATTAGACTGAGTAATTTGTGAAGAACAGAAATTTATTTTCTCACAGTTCTGAAGGCTGAGAAGTCCAAATGATGGTGTAGGCAGATTGCGTCTGGTGAAGGCTGCTCTCTGCTTCCAAGATGGTGCCTCTTGCTGCTTCCTCACATGGCAGAAGAGATGTAAGGTATGGAAGAGGTAAACTTGCCACTTCAAGACCTTTTATGGCATTAATTTCATCCATGAGGGTGGAGCCCTCTTAACCTTAAGCACCTCCTAACAGCTCCACCTCTTCATATTGTTGCATTGGGGATTAAGTTTCAACATGAACTGTGGACAGGACACAAACATTCAAATCATAGCACTGCTTAAACTGGACATTTACATTTTATACACTTTTCTGTATGGGTAAAAGAAAACATGGTGTAAAACCGTAATCCTTTGCTATAAAAAAAATAGAATTATTCACATAAAAAGATGCAAATACTAGTATATGCATATAATTTTTTTTCTAAAAGGAAACACAAGAAACTTAACATTGGTAGCTTTTAGGGACAGGGTTGAGGAGATGAGGGGAAACAGGCTTTTGCCTTTCATATATGCATATAATTTTTTTTCTAAAAGGAAACACAAGAAACTTAACATTGGTAGCTTTTAGGAACAGGGTTGAGGAGATGAGGGGAAACAGGCTTTTGCCTTTCACGAACTTTTTTGTATTACTTGAATTTTCTAATGTGTTGATGATGGGATTATGGGCCAGTTTATATATTTTTGTAAATTAAATAAAATTATGTGATTGGTTATTTTTAAATAAAACCAGAATAATTCAATCATGTTAAAAGCCTTAGAGGGAAGGAAAGCAGGGAAAAATGCTTTTTAAAGAATCATATTTTTAAACTCTTTCAGAAAACAAAGAATGTTTTGATGATATGAACAACTTTCCTTAGGTTTCATAAATCTATATTTCTGAGGTAGATTTACCATGAAGCTAATGGATTTAAGCTTCAAAGTCCTTCACTTGGACAGGCCTATACCTAATTTTGCATTCATAATTTTATATACTTTTTCTTAAAGAAAACCTCTAAAATTATACAAGGACACTTCAAAAAGT